TTTTTTCCTGCTTAACCACTCTAACATTGAATGGAACCTTCTGTATCCAATAGTCAATGGTGGAACGTAACCAACGCCATTTTGTAATTAGGAACTATTTCAAACAAGGCATTCATTTGCGGGTCGACTAAGATTAGATTGTCCACATTTCTGAAATGCAATCTTTCATCAAGGACCTTGAAAGCGTGGAAAGAACAACAGATGGGCTCGGCGGTGATGGTGATAGTGTAAAAAGTGTCCTTGACTTTGAGAGGTCGTCTCGCCGCTAGCCTACACAGTGGTCTGCCGCGGCCTACACTACACCATACACGCGGCACACGCCCCAGACAGGCTGTGTGAATTAAAATTAGTTATATCCTGAAGCCAACAAAATGTTGGCTACAATAAGCCTACAACACACCATGCAGAGAAGAAAACAAAAAATAATAACCATCACACTGGGCACATATTGACTAAAATAACTTACTTGGCCAGGTAAAATTTCAAAATCTCAGAAGGAGTAAATCGGATTGGCCAAAAAAGAGATTCTATCCGTTTTTTATTTAGCTTCCGGAAGGATCCGAGCTTTACAAGGAAGTAAGCCTACCCTACCATTGACTGTTGGATTCTGAAGTAGGCTAGAAATCCCATCTACTGTACATATTATGGACAATGAATACAAACCACTATAGTGGTTTGTATTCATTGATATGGACCAGCTGTAGCCATTTTTTATTACAAGAGAATGTTGGTAGTTGTGTGGCTAGTGTCTAAAATTATATTTTCTACCCTATGATTTGTTTCTGACAGTTTGATGTCATAACAGTTGCTATAGAACATATGTCGTTCCATCAGTTTTACTAGATAAAAAAGTAAAACTAAATTTTAAACTTAAAAAATCATCGTGTATTCGGCAGAAATCAGTAATTTAGATCAGCGCAATCTATCGGTGGCTCACATCAACTACGACGAATTTGATTCAATTAAACTTGTGACAACTTTAATATGGGAATGGAATGTCTAACAGAGAACTTGCTGGTCTACAGTAAAAAAAACCTCCCATCTCATACATTCAACGCTCATCATTAACTCATCGTCGCCTTAAAAGAAGCCCACCCTTGAGTTTTGGCGTTGTCAAATATACATTACATTACTTCATCGATAATTAGACATATATATATATATGGTTTATGAATCCATCTAAAATCCATCACGTAAAAATATTAGGATTTTAAACGTGTTCTTACATAAACTGCCCAAAATACCGATAAAGTTTCAAAAAATGCTCAAATAAAACATCTGTTAATCGGCAGTAGTGAGATATGAATTTACAGGGCGCGGGAGATGTAGTTGAGCACTGCTCGGTAACTTTAATATTTGAAAAATTAAACAACGAGAACACGAGTCCTACGATTCAATACGATTGTGTAACAGTTATGAACACAATTAAGAGGATAAAAACATCAAAGGAATTTTAAACGCTTTGTGCAATTAAAATAAGGCAGAGACCGGCCAAACTACAAATTCACTGTGTTAGAAATAATTAGTCTACAACGTCCCTTTGAAAATGCAATACTTTTCAACAAAAGAAGCATTTTCCCTATCTAAAGTGTTTTCGCTCAATAAATCGAGTTTAATTAAACTATTGGAGTCTTAAACAAGTTAAAGTAGGTTCTCACTACGAACCAAACTAAACATTTAGTTCGGAAGTGCTCCAGATAAGATATTGGTGAGCTGAAAATAGGTAGCTTGAGCACAAATGTATATAACCTTTTAATATGCAGTAATATATAGTTTAATAAATAGTTCAATTATAAATTGTAATTTATTTATTTGTGCATGCCAACGGCAAGGCAATACTTATGGAGGAAGTATTGACGACTAACTAGGAATATCTAGATAACAATTCGAATTTGTTTTCGACAATAAAAAACAATGCATACAGTAACGATATAATTAGAATTATATTATGTTAGGCTAAATCCTAATGTTATAATATTCTAACGGAGAATGATTTCAATTTGATTCCGCCCAATTGAAAAGTGCACTCGAAGGGGAAGCTACGTAGTTTTTACGCACGAACAAATTCGCGTAGTTTGGACCACTGCACTTTTTCTATTCAAGATGTTGTCATCCTTCCACAAATTCAGGGGTTATTTCTGTGTATACTTGTTATTATTATGTGTCCAAATTGCCATGTTGTCATCATTCCATATAGATCTATTTATTCAACTGGAAAAAATATAAAATTAGGCTACATACCAACACTGTTGTCATATTTGTATCTAAATTATTTATTATTTAATATTATATTGTCTTGAGCAAATGAATGTTTAAAAATTATTGTAAAATAGTTATTTTTTACGGTAAATAAGTTTAGGCTAAATAAAATGCCAAAATAGAGGTTTGTTTAATGTTATTAAATGTGTTTGAAATGTAGCAGAAAACCCAAATTCGATCTAAGTGGCTATTGAATTAAAAAATCAAACAATTCTTACGTGCAGAGTTTTTTTTTTTTTTTTATTACCTATAAGTGGGTGGAAGCCCGTATAGTTGTTAGTTGTTACAAGTTTATAACCCCAATAAAAGTAGTCAGAATCTACTTATCTCAAAGTGTATTATTACTACTATTCATCAAATAATTAACCAAGCTACAGGATAAAATCATATGAAAATTTCGTCGCCGTTCTTATAGAGAAAATTTTAAAGTTAGCCTAGTTTGTTAAAGCGGTACGATGTTAAAATAAACTATCTCAAACTAATAAATATGCGTTAAAACTACTGTAGTTTGAACTTACCTAGGGGCGGACGGGGCGAGCGCCCGGGGCCCCCGGGCCTAGGGGGGGCCCCGAGGGGGCCCCTTGCACAGTAGTTTTTATTAATATCTTCGAAAATTAATCAGACACTTACCGAATGATCTTCTTTTTTAACAGCTTTATTGTCGTTATCCTATATTTAAGGTTATTGTTAGATGAACTTTATGGTATTACTAGGACCAAAATTCTTGACTCTAAGGGACTTTTCCTCAGGGTTGCACTGGGCCCCGCGCTTAGACCTAGTTTACACGAGCATAGCTAGCTGCTAGGCTGTGACGGACCAGTTTGAGTTTCAATGAAGCCGTTCACACAAACCTACGGCCGCGGTGATCTAATTGAAGGGGGCCCCTTCGCTTGGGGCAAAAAATACAATAAATAATATGAAAACTCTTGTCCTAATGTAGAACGTAACTTGTACAATTGTGTTGGGGTTAAATGGAGATTCAATTGAGATCTAATACTTTTGAAAAATAAAAACATTGTTTGAAAAATATGTTTTATTAGATGTTATTCTTTTACCTCTAAGTATATGCCATTCACGATTTTAAGGGGCAGAAGTATTATATTACCCATTCAATTAAAAGGTTTTATAAAATAGTAATTAAGTTATACGTCGAAATTCGGATCTTCAATTTAGTCGATAGAGTCAAAATCATACAGCGCCAGTAGGATAAAAAATCTATATAGACATTTTATGACAACTAGGGTCGTCTGATGTTAACAAAAATTACATTATTTGGGAGCGGGCGAGCGTTGTCGACTGAAATCGTAAAAAACGCTCAACAAGCAGCTGCAACAATAAATGATAATGAGCTGATAAGGGATCCTGTCTAGTCTTGTCTGTCTCACGCACGCGCATACACATACATACAATGCCTTATCGCCAATCCAAAACAATTTAAATCACTTTACTCCCAGTGTGTTTTTGGTTGACATTATCGTACTTTTGTGTTGTATTTTATTATTAATTCTGCAAACACTACAAAGAACAAATTAATGTTGTATTGAATGTTATGTTTGTGTTGTATTAATTTATATTGAATACATTTAAACATCTTTCTGTTTACTCATATAAATGGTTAGCTTGTGATTGGTTATTAGACTTGTATTGTAACATTTTACTCGTCAAGAAAAAACTCAAACTCGTTAAAGTTCTTAATGGTACTTTTCATGCTAGGACTTTTAACATATTATACAAACGAGAATTCCATGCCAAAACCACTATGAAAATAAACATAAGTCATAGTTTATGATTTTATAGTTTTAGTGCAGCCAAGAAATTTAGGAAAAGCAGGAGGTTTTAATTGCCATGCCAACGTATCAGAGTAGGAAGTGACATTTATTTATAGGGAAAATAACTATGTTCTAAACTTTATAATGATTTATCTATAAACAGTAAACTTTAAAATTGTTTTGACTTGTATCTTATAAACTTAGTATAGTAAAAGGTTTGTTAGTAAAATTATAGTAAGTTATAAAATATATTAAAGCTTTAAAAGTTTATGCATTATCTCTGACTTACATCACGTGTTTAAATATAACTTATTCCATTAATTAATTAATGTTAGTTATTTTTCATTTGAGTTTTCATTCAAGCACCAAATAGAATGTGTATTACAGTAAAAAAATTAAATTAAACCTTTTACAAGTACGTCTTATTTTATTTTTATTTTATCTATAGTTTTCATTGTTTGTTGCAAAGGATATTACATTTAAATGTATTGCAAAAAATGTGTAAGGTACCTGCTAGGTATATTAAAATTTTATAAATTCAATTACAACAAGAACAAATCATAAAATAACACCGTACATTGTAGCTATTTTCAGACTTAAAATATTACATACAATTAGTTTATGCAAAATACAGCATTCTAACAGGTTTACATATTAATTCACCTTGAAATTAGCTATTTAAAATTAGTGTGCATGTAAATGCGTTACATTGTGTACCGTATAATCATACTGGGGGCCCCATCGGCAAATTCGCCCGGGGCCTCTGAAGTCCTAAGTCCGGCCCTGAAACTACACCGGGGACCTCGCTCGCTGCATAAACTCCAACTCTAGAATAACAAGACAGAAACACAGCGGTGAACCAGTGAAACTAGTTTATCTTTCGACCGGCGCTGCGTACCTTTCCTCACGACCACGACCGACTAGCCAGGTAAAACTAAACTGTATTGTGAGAGACAAAAGACTGTAGCTTACCTGATGAGAGTATTACATGATATCCGAGTGGGTGAGGTATCCTAGGAGTGACCGTAACAACAATCACTAGACACATACACACACACGCGGCACCGAACAATACAGGACCAAACAGGTCGAGCGCGCGGCACCAACTGACCCGAGCCGGCGAGCGTCAAACAGCTGATGGTGGTGGGGGAAGTAGGGGAACTGCCACCCCTCCGCCGCGCAGACCTGTTCACAGTGATGCCCAACGTGATGCCTGCTCGCCGCATCATACTGTGGAGGTTGTAGTAATGTCCTGACTATGAAAATGTTTTTAATTTGTTTACTTAACTTTGTAAACGAATTGACTCGTGATAAAAACAACAGCTATATGTTGTTGTTACTAAACGAATAAACTATGGCAAACAAATTAATGGTAGTCGAAAATTAATAACATTTTAGTTAGGTCAATAATTAGACAGCGTTACGTCTTGAATACTCCACTCAATGAATTCATGGAGAAAATTGGGGTATTCTTATTGATTTACAAAAAGAGTCACAAGAAGTAGCTTAAAGTTCAAATATTGCTCAAGTAGAACAAAAATAAGAGTAACAACTGTAACAACAAAAGTACCACCCAATTACAAATATACAATAACTTTGATCTCAATTAGGTGTTATCAGTAGCATTATTAAGGAGGAGTTTATAAAAATTATAATCACACAAATTGAGATACTACGTTGCTGAGTAAATTTCGATCGGGAGAAATATTTTTAGACATCTGTTCAGAGCTCTGTCACTCCTTCCCTTTTAATTTGACAGACATAACAACTGTCAACTGTACGATGTAAAGTGAACAATAACCTTAATACAACACTGACCGGTTGTTTTTTATTTCGAGAAATTGCCTGGGGAAATAGTTCAGGAGTTAATCGAAAAACAACTTAACGAGATAGAGATAAACAATAAACACAGTGTTTTAACATTATTATTGCGGTTGACATGTTTTAACACGAAAGATGCATTTTTTCATTGTCAAGCAATTGTGGGAATTCCCCGTCATCAGCACTCAGCGTGGAAAAGTCGTCTTAATTGTGTGAGTTAAGATGGCATCAAGATAAATATCATTTCCCCATCCCAGCCAGTCAAGCATTATCCTCAGAAATATAGGTGTGTGTATATAGGTTAATAGGTAGTTTCATAGGTAATACAATCCCAGAACGCATCCAAATCAGAAATAGCAAGATCATTTTAAATCATTAACAATTTATTGCTTTTTAGTGTCATCCGCGTTTTATTCTTTTATTTATTGCTTTTTATTGTCATCCGCGTTTTATTCTTTTATTTATTGCTTTTTAGAGTCATCCGCGTTTTATTCTTTTATTTATTGCTTTTTAGAGTCATCCGCGTTTTATTCTTTTATTTATTGCTTTTTAGTGTCGTCCACGTTTTATTTTTTTATTTATTGCTTTTTAGTGTCATCCGCGTTTTATTATTGTATTATTGCTTTTTAGTGTCATCCGCGTTTTATTATTGTATTTATTGCTTTTTAGTGTCATCTTTAATTCATGTCATGTTTTATTCTTTTTCATTCACAGGAAATACAAAGCTAAGGCATGAGAATTCCCCCTGAAAAAAGTTGGTATCGAAGTGATGTATGTGGGTGTGCGTGGATATTTATAGAGCTATGAGTGATGCAATTTGGTAGGTACCACCATGGTATCTCCAGGCGTTTTTCATTTTGACATTTTTTTGGAATTTTATTTTTTAATGGCAATTTTCCCATAAAACACATAACATTACGAAAAAACAACAAATTTTTTTATTCGTCAGTACGATTTTGATTAATATGTCCTTTTGACTCTAAACAAGATGGTAAAAGTTTGCTCTGTTCTTTGAACCCAAATGAATCAAAACTGCGATTCAAAAGTTATTGTAATTTTATTTTAACTTACTGCACTTGTAAGTTATATTAACAGAAAAAACCAGATTTTCATAAAAGTGGCTTGACCAATTTTGATTCAAATTGTGTGTATGATATAGTCCTTTAAACTCGAAACAAAATTTCACAACCCCCATTGATGTAAATATTACGGTTCAAAAGTTATATCAACTTTTGCCATATCCCATATAAATTATCAAAGTTACTCTCACCGCTTACCCTGTGTCATGATAAGGGTTGTTGACAAGCTAAAGGGAAAAGTATGTGCCAGATTGCTGATACCGTTTATTTATAAAATATATTTGCAAGAGACTAATTTAAAATACACACGACAAATTACAACTGTTTTATTTTCTTTAATCGCGTCTTTTCTTTTTAGGGAATTTCCTTATTGGGAAGTAGCTATTACCGTAGGTGGCATGGTAAGATGTAGGCCCGGGACCGATTTGCTTTTTTCATTTTGTGGCCAAAATTACCATTCGTTAAAATTTGTATATATGTAACGGAGAAAATTCAAAAAATTATAAATTTAAAATTATTATGTTATTTTTTTTCGAGAATATTGTTAAATGCTGTAGTTTGCTTGTTTATGGATATATTTTGATCAAACTTGGTAAATTTATTTATTTTATACCAAGTTATTAATATTTTACTAAAAAACACACTTTTTTACCCACCTTGTAGCAGCAAGCCCAGGTACTCATAAAACCTAATGTTAATTTAATACATTTAATTGAAAATCAATTCGCTGATCGTTGTGGCATGTAATTTAAAATTGAAAATACAGTTTAACATTGTTAGTTGTGTCTAAAAAAACATATCGTTCACTTGCCAAGGAATAATAAGAGGAACAGGCAAAATCGTATCCATTGTGTTTACTAATGAAACTGTAGAAATTGCCTTTAGCCGTTGATATGAAATAAATAACTAAATGGGGACGTTTACATTAAATGCAACTATTTGGTAACATGGCAAAGTTCAAATCAAATGTACGCAATAGAAAACCCTTAACTATTTTAACCTATTTTCTTGGGTGTTATAATTATTTACTAACTGTTGTACTATTTAGGTTTAAATTTGCCAAAACAAGATAGTAAACATTGTGATATTTCTGTGGTACAGAACGACAAACTTGTCCACTTCATGTATTTCAAATTAATGTTTATTTATAAATACTCTCATCCAAGTGTGTATAATGGGGTTCATGGAATAATGATAAAGGGTGGTATTTTATAAACTGCGGCCCAAATTGTGAGCATCCCTGGCAATGAGATTCGACGTAATAATGGGCTCCACACACGACTGGCGCCGAACCTCATCAATGAGAAATAATGAGATCGCTCATACCAGGCCAGTGGAGAACCTTCCTAGTTCAGCGTTGTACAACAACACTACTAGCACAATCGTCAATGAAAAATACAACTATAAATGAGAGAACACGTCGTCAGTCGGTTGGGTAACACAATCTTGCTCATCCAGGATAGGAGCGACTTGTACTTCAGGTCGTACCGATCCTGAATGAAGGCTGTGTTCCCCAACCGACTGACGACGTGTTCTATGAGATGGGTTTAGTGGTGACCAAGGAGTAGTATAGAATACCACCTCTCTCTGTACCCTTTTAGTCAAGGTTGGATCAGAAACAATCCTTTTGTCCTCACACAGCGCGTATTGTCCTGTACCCAGCGTCCCTCTGTTCTCTCGCGACCACTGTTTAGCTGTTAGGTCGTTTCAATGCAAACAGCTCGACGGGCTACAGCTGTTCTTTAGTAAAAATTAAACTCTTGGCACGGCTGTACCGAAACTGCCACGACGTTTTATGATCATAATCCATACCGAAACTGCCACGCCAATTAGTGAGGATTATAAGGGTGTTTTTGAGAATGCTAGAAACACTGAAACTGCCACGGCGGATTCCTCAGGAAGGGGAGGTTGGTTTGGCAACGTGCAGGGAGAAACGGGAATGAGAATATCCCTCACTCATCACAGTGACGATTTTGAAACACAACACTTTACTTTGCTCATAACTTAGTTAAATGCTTTTCATGTTGCTACTTAAAAGAGGCCATACTAACTTTGTACTTATTTAAATCAAGTATCAATAGAAAAAGACATTTAACTACCGATGAAGTCAGAAATAATTAAATAATATGTTCTAAAGGATTAAGATTGCAATGGAATGTAAAATGTTTCTTACTAAATGTATTATATGAATGCTCTTAACCCGTTATAGTGAATTACTGGCGTTAAAGAACTCGATAAACACATATTTTATCATTAGATTTGGAAGTTTTCAGTTTATAAATATACCAAGGTGTAGGTAGGCATCGTCAAAATTGCACAAGAAGAAACATAATCTAATGCAAATAATAGCAAACGCGATACGTGTCCTGAAGCATAAATAAAACACAATTGTGATAAATATGTTGATCATATTTGGCGAATTTACTGATTTCATCCTATACTATTAATATTTTGCAAAAAAACACTTTTGACCTCGCCGTAGTAGTAAACCCTAGGCGTTTGTTACATCTAATGTTATTTAAATGTGGAATAAATATATCTTGTTTATGGACAATTTTAGTAAGAATCCAATAAAACAAATTGAAATTCACTCAGTGTGCAGGTTTGCTGCGGGCTGCGGTGGAGGTAATGTATTTGGAAATGACCTGGGAATACCATGCAAACATGCTTTTCAGCAATGAGTTGGAAATACTGCGCGCACTGCGTTCCAATTGTCTTAGGAATTGGCGTCGAAGTATGAGATCCTTTGTGATGACTAGAATACACAGAATTGAGTTCGAGTCTGTCCAGATTTTGTTTAGTACGAAAAACAAATAAAATACAAGACTAGGCCAAGAAATATACAGATACAATTATACTTGTATACATAAGGCGAATAATGTGCAGGTTTACATTAATACCAGATAAAAACTTCCAAATTGATAAGTATACATTTTAGATACGGTTGATAAAAAATAAATCCTAATTAGCCTAGGCTACTTGTAGTGATAATTCAGGGTGTTCACCTAATTCTGCCAACCTAGAAACCGGGAATAGCACGTGAATTTTAAGTATCAGGAAAAAGTCCATGAGTTGTAATTGAATTTAGTAAGAAACCAGGAAATAAAAATGGTAAAATATTTGCCGTAAAATCCACCCGAAAACACAGAGTTTACACGTTTTGCGTAATCGAAAAACGCCATTGCGAGAAA